TGACCTACTCTGGCAACACCTATCGTACAAACCCCATGAAGAAACACCTGAACCTTCAGTACACCAGAAAAATCACCAAATCTGGAGATATATGGCTCTCACTTTGTTTCAGTTGTAATCTGCAAAGTAGTGGAGTAAATATTTGCCTCTAAGATGTAGTGCAGTACAAGTATAAAGTTAAATAAAAATGGAAATACTCAATTACCTGAGTAAGTACCCAAGTAAATGAGTAAATGTACTTGTATATAATGTATATGCAAAAGAGACTCACGGTGAGGCCTGCCTCCCCTTTGACACCAGGTCGTCCCTAAGATAGAAGAAGAAGAAAAAAAACAAACATATTATTGTAAAAGTGGCTACATTGCTGCACATTTTAAATTCCATTTACCAGACAAATATTTGCTGACATGAATAATTACAAGGATTACAGCATAATTCTGTTACATTCTCACAGTGCTGAGGAAGGTTCAAACCCTGTCACAAAGCAGTACACAATAAATGGACGTTTAAAAGCATCATTAGTGTCACTCACAGGTTGCCCCGAGAGTCCAGGGTCTCCCATATCTCCTTTGATTCCCTTCAGCCCCCTCTCCCCTCCCAGGCCACGGTCCCCCTGTCACAGAACATCAGTGATTAGAACATAATACGTGAACATGAACGCTCATCCAAAAGTCCCAGACAACATGGTGACTCACTTTAGCTCCAGGAAAGCCTTCTCCAGGTAGTCCCCTTGGCCCTGTCACGCCCTGGGACCCCTGCTCCCCCTGAATCAAACACATGTATTAACTATGTTGCATGTGCAGGGCAGATAGAGACCTCTCATATAGAGGTTACAGATAACCTACCTTTGGTCCTTGAATTCCTTGACCTTGTGGCCCTGTTGGCCCTGGAGGGCCAGGCCGCCCACTGTTACCCTGCAGCACAGAGGACACAGTGAACAACACATTGGAGTGGACTTTATCCCATTTTTTATTTTATACAATTTCTCTTTTTTTACCATCTAAATTCCCAAAGGAAGTATCAGGCACCATTGGCCCTCCCTCACACACTATCGTTAACAAATCCCTGTCCTCTGCGGGTTGTCCCAAGTCCAGTGTGTAACATTTAGGAGGATCTATTGGCAGAAATACCTTAGAATGAGACGTTTTTTTTATCTACAGAGACAGTGCGTCCTCTTCTACGGAGGCTGCCATGTTGAACTGCCAGGTTTCTACATTAGCCCAAAACAGACGACTCAAATACAGGCTCTAGATAGGGCCACTGATGTCATTTTGTTTTGTAGAACTTCAACCACTAAAACTGATCCATGAAGTCATGACTTACTTAAACAAACCTACAAACCTACACATTAGATTTTTATCGTTCCATGACTGTGACTGTAGGTTCATAATGTGACAATATGGTAATTGTCTGTAACATGTATCACACATTGTAATCACTTATTAATATTCTTTGTATAAAATGTGTGTAATATATACGAGGACACTGCCTGTCATTTTTCTTGGAGAGTCATCAATTTCTGACACCACTTATCCTCTAAACACGATATAAAGTCTGCCAACATGAGTTGCTTCCTCGCTTTCTCCCATTTAGCGGATTTAGGTGAGTCCTCAATTAAATCTTGACCTCCATCGCTGTGACAGTGCTCAGACCTGTGGAAACACTTGTCTGGAGCCTGCAGGGAATCTGGATGTGATATCTGAGGACATGTGGATGCTGGGTGTTGCCTCGGTTAGGCCTGTTAGGCCAAGTGCTTCTCATCAGACACATATGTCTACAGAGATTCACACTCTGCACCAATGTGACAGAGTGCTGTGGGGAAAATCATGATAAATACCCTGAACAAATGAACTGGCAGCCTTTGAATATAAGGCCCCCGTGGTGGGCATGTTAGCACACAAGATGAAGCACTCTCCCTTTTTTTCAATCTGGAACTGTCTGACTGCAGCAGAGATGTAATTCTTTGGAGAATATGACTCAATCACAACCATCTGTTTGTATGTCAAATAAAATTATAGAAGGATTTCTGCATAAGTATTCACATTACAATGTTGTCCTTGACTTGTGTTTGCAGAAAAAGAACACAAATTAATTTTTTGTTAAGCGATAAGTCATTTTAGTTCAAAGTGACATAAAATATGAAAAAAGGTTAAAGTTATGAGTTACCGGAGGTCCTTGGAGGCCTTCGCCCGGAGGTCCTGGTGAACCAGGCAACCCACGGAAACCAATATCCCCCTGCAAAGAGGAAAACACAGGGAAGAGTTATGAACATTTACAACACAGCAATTTACAATCCATCAAATAAATGAACTTCTGTCCAGACTAAAATCTTGTTTCCTGTAATTATTTTCTTCAAACAAATGACCAAATCTTTCTCTGGGGTGATACTTTCACTTCATCTACAATGCAGATTCAAACACAGCTTTGAAATTGATCTTACAGTATTTGACAATTGCTTTGGTCTCATTTTCACAACAGCACAAAATGTTAGACTCCCGATTCTGGCCTCACATAGCACACACAGAGGACCCATCTGTATCATATTAGGAGATACATTAGGTTGTAATGTATCGCCTCGTTTGACAGCATTGTGTATGTTTACAACTGAATTTGAATCTTTCTAATCTTCATCAACACAGAGTCAGCAGTGGTCATTTCCTTAATATGAAACAAGGAATAATGCAATTTATACAGACATCAATATTTGAAATGATGTTGAGTAAGAATGACTTTTGAATGTTCAATATGTTGAATATGTAAATAAGGTAGTCTAGTGTATGACTTTACAGTAAATCATTCATAAAAGTTGGAATGATGTTTATATCTTTCTGCTCAACAACATTCATGAGAACTGTACAGTGGATACATTTTTATATAATGCCCCCCTTTAAATTATATTAAAGTTATGCATAATTAGGGACATGGCGGCTTTAAATGACAGATGGATGGCGTCACAGTAACCAGGCCTGCATCAGCTCTACCCACGCTCCACATCTTTGCCCATTTTTGGATTAGCTGGGAACCAGTGGAGTTAGGACTGCCAAGATGGCAATAGCCAGAGCCGACCACTCTGAGTTTCACAACGACTCTTCAGAAACCTATGTGTGACGTCACGTAGACTACGTCCATTTTTAATTACACAATTGGTATTATATTAATTTTTTTTCTTAAAGTAAATTATTTGGGTCTTTTATTGCCTTTATTATAGCGACAGCTGAAGATAGACAGG